GGTTGGTAAGTATCAGTTTTTAAACCATGAAAAGCACAAGCAATTAAAATCGTCTTATAATGTCTAGGAGGTAGTTTTAGGCATCTGGGTGCAACCATCCTTCCAAATAGCTCAAATGCAGATGTTCAGTTTGGGCAGTACTATATCCACTCATGAGTTCCAGTTGTAACATCTTAAGTATTTTACTATTCTTCCTTGATTCTAAACTATCCATTGCATTACAATTACGGGGATTTTCCTTCAAGGATCTTAAAACATTTTACTGAAGTTGGTATCTCTAGCATTTATACAAAATATTTAAGAAAAATAAGGCACAAATATTACAATATATATGGAAAGAACTTTCAAAGAAACAACACCTCAGAAGCAAGACTTCATCAAAAAACATGAGACAGCCATGATGTGAAACCATCAATTCCTTTTGCCTTTCAACTATATTAAAGTTTCTAGAATAATAAGTGCTTTTTTCCTCTTTTGAAAGTTCACTATTCTGCACTAAGATAATTCTAATTCTTATACCAGATTTGCTGCAGATGAGTCCCTACACAAGAATCTGCGTTACAACAGACCTTCTACTGTCTTCTTTTATCTTCAAAACATTAATAAAATTATCCCCAGACAAGCAAGAAAAACGTTTTCCTACAGTTTACCTTCCACATTTGGAAGTTGATACCTTTGGTTTCCACCCACATCCTCCACACACTTTGCCTAGTCTTCTGGATAGGCTGTTTGAGATGATCATGGCCTTTGGCAGCAAAGTGAACCAACAAGAACACATTACCTCTCAGCTTCCAGAGGACCAGAGAAACGTTAGCAGCAGCTTTTCCATCTCCTCCTGCCAGCCAAAACTTGGGCACATTTGTTAGGGTAACTTAATACTCTGATTCTACCTTTACCTTACATTCTGTTGAAATTTCCTGGTAGCATCAAACATTACAAGGCACAGAGGGATAAACACAAGCTAATTGAGTAAAGGTTACAAAAAGCGGACTAAATTCAATTGACTGTAAAAACTATTTTGTTAAAAGAAATAGACAGAAGTTAAACCAGAATTAAAACCAAACGTAGGCTTGCAGGTGTTGCAGCATCTAAGTCACTAGCTCCTTAAAAATGTCAATAAGGCTACAGTCAAGGAACCTGTGTGGTGAAACTTTCCTAAAGACAGAGATCAGGACGTTCCAGAATGCTGGCGCTCCTCATAGGGACAAGGAACAAAGGAGTGGATAAAGAACAGGTACAGAGGTTATAAGCTTGCAGTTGACAAAAAAAAAAAAAAAAAGACAGAAGGGGAGAAAACTACAGAAAAGGGAATACCTCTGTGAACGAGGAATTGTTTTCCATACCACCTCAGCCCAGGGTAAAGAATTAAAGGAAGGAGAGAGAGATTACTAAACTGGAAGATATCCCTATTCAGCAAAACACTAACAACACATTTAAGACCTTTCCCCGCCCCCCCCCCCCC